CCGAATTCCACTAGTTTCAGAACAATGTGCGGATGTCAAATGTTTCAAATTCATGGGAATCTGTAAGAAAAATTCTGCGTGTAGAGCCCAGTTATCCACAGAGATGACACATTTTGCAAGAGATGCTCTTGCTGCATTTGTCACTTATTCGACGACAACAAGGATCCAAGTCTTTTGGCTGGAATGCACATGTGAATCTGGTCAAGGGGACTCCTGTGGCTTATCTTGCCACATTGAGTGCGCCCTCCAACATGGAAAAGTGGGCGTTGTTGAACTTGGGCAATTGATGCATCTTGATGGGAGTTATTGTTGTGTGCTTGCTTGTGGTAAGGTGTCTAGTATTATTGGGTAAGTTGTCTACTCTTAATTCAGGACTTAAAGATGACTTTTAAGTGCCCACCCACAGCTCCTATATGCTCTCAAAGAAAAAAAGATAAGAAAGATTAACAATAGAGGCAGACAAAATTCCAAGGTTAAAACCAAATTTAGAAAATAGGAAGCAGGAAACGACAATTAATTTGTAATTTTCAGTAAGTGGGTTTTGAGTCTTTACTTGTGTTTATGGATTCTGGCAGATATTGGAAGAAGCAGCTAAGTATAGCAAAGGATGCTCGCCGTGGTGGATGTACTCTGCTGTAGGATATTCTTGAGTTACAGGCTCCTGGATGGGACTTCCAGGTTCAAAGAACTGCATGAAATTGTTACAGAAGCTAAGGCTAAGTTAGAAACAGAGGTGGGTCCAGTTAAGTGTGTGTTTCAGCCAAGTTGGCACGTGGCATTGTCGGCAGACTCTCTGTTGCAGGTGATGTGCAGACACTCTGCTCTCGTGCGATTGAGAAAGCAGACGAATCTTTGGCTGCGGGTTAGTGTGAACCCAAATATCAGAGCTATCGGTAATAGCTTGTATCTTCTATTTTTTATTGCTTTCAAGAACTGTAATATGTTGATCACTTGGGAAAATTAATTTTCATTTTTCTCCCTTGCAGAGGGTTCACTTCCTGCAGCTTGCAGATTCCTCTTTGAAGAGGTGACTTCTTCTTCGGTCGTAATTTTATTGATCGAACTATCTATTGCGTCATCCAACGATATTCAGGGCTACAAGCTCTGGTATTGTAAGAAGAAGAAGAAAAAAAACACACAAAAGAGCCTGTGTGTGTTTTTTCCAAGATCTCAGAGAAGAATTTTGATAACCAATTTGCAGCCTTGCACGGAGTACTCCTTCCGGATTGTATCCTACACGGATGCTGGTGACTTGGGACACTCTGAGGCTAAGTGTTTCACAAAGAGCGTGGAGATAATTCACAAGAATCCCAACTCAAATGCATTGAACCATAAGAAAGCAGATTCACAAATTGGAGGAAGTTCTGGTTCCAGGATGAAGCATAAGAACACAACCACCATTGAATCTGACTCTGGATTCAAGGTCCGAGACCTCGGGAAAATCCTGCGGCTGGCATGGGCTCAAGAACAAGGCTGCTTTGATGGGTTCTGCAGTGTAGATATAGAGAAAGGCTGTGGAGTTAACAAAGTGAAAAAGGAAACTCTGCAAGAAGTTAGGGTACCATCTGTTTCACGTGAGCTTGACTTAAATGTAGCTTCAGTGCCTGATTTAAATGAAGAGGTAATACCTCATATAGAGTCCTCTAGGGATGAAGATAATGGATGCACATTTGGTCAAACTGTTGAAGCAGATGATGCTATTTTAAATAATATTGAGAGAAATGACGCAGCAAGGGTGCACGGGAGTGGTGACTCCCAAAACTGGAACCACGTTCTGAATAAGGAAGTTCCTGCAGTTGACTCCCGGGCAGAATCCTGCAGGAAAAGGGCAGCTAGCACAAATGAAGAGACGTTTGATTGTGATAGCACTTTGATAAATGGATCACCATTTCGAATCCACAATGAGTCAGAGTGCTTGGATGAGAACTTCGAGTACTGTGTGAAGATTATTCGTTGGCTGGAATGTGAGGATTACATTAAAAAGGAATTCAGATTGAAATTGCTGACGTGGTTTAGCTTGAGGTCAACGGAGCAGGAACGCAGGGTGGTCAACACTTTTATTCAAACTCTAATTGATGATCCTAGTAGCTTAGCAGGACAGTTGGTTGACTCCTTTTCAGATATCGTATCCCTCAAGAGGCCACGGAATGGTTTCTGTAGTAAGCTGTGGCATTAGATTAGTGGCAGCATTCAGGGAAAGGGAATCAATATTTAACTTAGCATTTATCGTTTCACGGGATAAATTATTGCTGATTGTTTTGCCCATTCTTTGTACAGGCAAATTTTCTTAATCACTCGAGGAAGTGATGGATGCATTTGTCTCATGGACAAGCCTGTCTAGCTAAAAGATTAAGGTTGCTATAGCCAAGATAGTTTCTGATTTCTCGGTAGGGGAGAGCTCTTGGATTCCAGGAGATTTCACATTGTAGAAGGTATTTGCCAATTTCTTAGGCTTCATAATTGCATATGAAGCAAATGAATTGAGTTTATGTAGAATACGTTCTAATATTGTTGGTATTGCTTTCCATCAGTCACGGAAGGGTGGACTAGTAGTTAATTTGTTTTAGACAGAAATTCATCTTCTCCAATTCTTGGGGTAGGTCTAGATCTTTCTTAATGCGTAATTTTTTTCTTCCTTTTTCTGCTCTTGCCTTTGCATGAAGATGTTTGCAATCTGTTCTGTTTCACGAGTGAGGATGGTGCCGGACAAGCATGTTATGTTTACAGAACTATTTGACTTGGGTTAATATCTAAATTATGCTATCGGTTTTAAATGGTCCTTATAATTTAGTCTCTAAATTATCAAAGTAGTTTTAATAGAAACCTTCTGATGATGCACAAATCGGCTTTACGCAAAATCAAACGTTAAGAATATGTAACGAGTGTGATTAATATGCAATTAACGAATAATCAATGACAATCAAGAGCTAACATAGGAATTTATAGTGGTTCGGCCCGGGTGACTTACTCTATTCTCGGGAACGGCAACGGTGGCCGGAAATCTTTATTGATGTATAATGTTGTCAGGAGAACACTTTGGCAGAAATACAATGCTTTGAGAGAGAGAGAGGGAACAATGTGTGTAGAGAAGCAAAAGCTATAGGTGAGTGTGCGTAGGAGTTTCAAGGTGTAGAGGTCTCTATGTTGTCTCTCTGGTTCCCCTCTTTTTAGAGGGAGCTTACATTATATAAGTTTAATAAGGCAGTGAGACGATAACGTGAGGGAGAGGGTTTCTACCACTTTGGTAAGTATAGTTATGATAGGATTTGATTTTCGTGCGTATCCCGATATTTTCTCCCTCGTGTCCCTATTTTGTTGGAGGAACACTTTCAGCTGGGTTGAATTTGATCCTGAGCTTCGACTTGACTCAGAGTGACAAAGAGAAGATGGCGAAAGAGAGGCAGAGGACCAACACCTGGGTGGCGTCCTCTTGGGGTATCCCTTGGGCGACGCCCTCTTGGGTGGCGCCCCCTTGACTCCTCTTTGATGATTTAGGCTCCTCCTTAAGTTTCTCCTTGATTCTTGATGATTGACGTGATCTCCTCTTAATTTATTGGGCTGGTCCCTTCTTAGTGTTAGCCTAGCCCCATTTTGGTATTGTCTCTGGGCCTCAGTAATTTATTTGACTTGACCTAGTTAATTTCGGTTTCATCACCATCTATCCATTTCAATTGCATAGCACAAACAGATACAGACCCAATTGCATCTGTTTGTGCTAAACAGTTGAAGTGAACACCAGGTTCATATTGAAACCATTTTGAAAGTTTATGGATTAGATTGAGGCAGTTTAAAGTTTATGGACCATTTTAAAACCCGAGGCATAGTTTAAGGACATTTTTACCCTTTTAACTTCTATGAATCGGTGTTGAAATGTCATTGCAAACCGTAGCATTCATGTCTTATACAAGCCAATATATATATATATATATATATATATATATATATAAGAAGATTTTAAGGACATATATGACTCGGAGACAGAATGTATGGCCTCTTTGTCACCTTGAGCCAGCCAGCAGCCAATAAATGACAAATGTGATAATGAAAGATGAATTAGATATGGAGTGTAGATCAAGTAGTAAAAGATATAAGTTGTAAATTCAGACGTTATTAGTTTGAATTTTAACAATTTTTTGGGGTCAGGTCATAAAAGATTTATCTTTGATGAATATTTTAATTTTAACGTGAATAGTTTGTCTTTGATTAAACTGGAGAAGAGATTAATCGAAGTGCGTATAAATTGATTTAGACACTCCTGATCGTTAAAAAAAATAAAAAAAATAGATGAACTATATGGTTTTGGAGATGGCCTAATCATGGGCAAGTGTTTGTTTGCATGATCTAGAGTTTTACGTAAGAGCAACTCTAACGGCAAGTGCCATCAGGGGTGGCAAACCCTTAATTGCTAAAATATCACCTCAAAATTAAAAAATTTTACTCCAAGGGGGTGACATCAAAGGTTGCAAAATGGAACTTATAGACTTTGGGTGACAAATTTGTAAACTTTAGAGAGAGAAAGTAGAGGTTACAAAAAAACGATTGAAAATACAAAGAGAAGTAAAAGAAAAAGAGGTTTGCCTGAAAATCGTTGGTGTCTACTGCTTGCTTGGAAATGGAATCACAGGGAAAGGGAAAAAGGGTAGAGTTTGAATCGCTGGGAAAGGGGAAACAAAATCGCAGGCGAGGGGAAAAAGGGTAGAGTTTGAATTGCTGGGAATGGGGATGGGAATGGGAATGGGGATGGGAATGGGGATGGGGATGGGAATGGGAAAGGAAAAAGGAAGGGTTTGCCTTTCATCGTTCCAGACTATTATTTATTTTAGTACAAATGATACTTTGTACCCTAATTTTTTTTTTATATTACATATTACATCATTAAATTTTTTTGTATTGTTATATAACACAATTAATTTTTTTGTATTGTCATATTACACCATGATTTTTTTTTGTATTGCTATTATTTATGAAAAATTATGTATTAAAAATACAACTTGAAATTGAAATTGGAATTCAAAATATAACTTAAAATTGAAATTGGAATTGAAAATACTAAAAATATTAAAATAACACTCCATTTTGAAACCTATCATTAGAACAAATTTAAAAATTAGGAGTGTCAAAATATTGTTTAAGGTTACAAAATGACATTTGACACCCCAAAAATAGCAACTCCCCTTAGAGTTGCACTAATCATGGTAAAGTTGGGTTAAGGGGTTGAATCGAGTTGCGTTGTATCTTATTCAAATCAAGTCATTTCATTTTGACTTCTTGTTTTGTTATGTGATGTTCATTTGATTTTCGTATAGTTCGTGACCAAAAACAAAGGACTTGGGGTTTTTTTTTTCCTATCTCAATCAAATTCTCCATGCATGGGTTCTCATAAATTAAAAGTCTATTTTACTTATTTCTCAATGTAGTGGTTTCCATAAAAACGTGGTTGAAGACTACACTTTTAATGCAAAAGCGCATTTGCAACATAGGCTTTCAATAGAAAACCCTGAAAATGTTTTTTAAAAATATATATATTTTTAAAAAATAGTTTCTAGTTGAAAAATATGTGCTTGAATCAATCTTTCATAAAAAAAAGGCATTTAAAATAGATAACTGATAAGGTCACGTACCAAAAATTGTAATTTGTTAAGGTTAATATATAATTTTTTTAAGTGTAAGTTATAATTATAAAAGACATAGTAATAAAATATTATGATCGATTACGGAAGTTACAACTTTTAAAAATAAAATTATATTTTTAAATGTCAAGTTATAATTTATAAATTAGAAATTAGAAATGGTTGAAGTAATTCACGATCAATTAAAAATTATTATTTTTTAATGTTAATTTACCCTTCTTATAAGTGAAGTTATAACTATTTAAAACATGATCGATCATGAATTACTTTAAGTAGTTATAACTTCACTTTCACGATCGATTAAAATATATCATGATCAATCATTCTTTAAATAGTTAAAATTTCACTTTTAAAAAGAGTAAATTAACCTTAAAAAATAATAACTTTCGATACCATAGAATTATCTTAAAAATTATTGTAAAAGAATATTAAAATTCAATTCAAATATATATATATATATATATATATAAAAGGGTAGGACCCAGCTGATGTAATAGGAAAAAGTAGGTTGTTGGAAGTATCCTATTACAACACAATAAACATAAGAAAACAAAACCAACCTTTTGCCTGATCTTTATTAGTTATATATAGTACCATTGGGTCTGGCTTGTCTGGGCTTGGGGGCTTACCGCATATTATGCGGTTAAGTGAAACCACAGCGTTTCACTGAATTTTGTAATTTTTTGTTTGATTGACCTCATCAAAATGATGTCGTTTTAGTCCAGTTAAAAACTTGATTTGCAGTCCTTCTTCTTTGTTATTTCTGTATATATCTATAGTTGTTGCCATGACTTCTCAACAAAGTTAAACAATACAGAAGAATTACACTAAATTATACAAAAAGAGAAATTAGCAAAAACCAAAGAGCAAGAAAGAGATTTGAAAAAAAAAGGACCTAAAAACAACTTATTTCTTGTACCAAAACTAAAGAACAAGTATATTAAACCTCCCATTCTTCCCCCTTTCTAAAACCCCCGCTTCTGAGATCCCTTTCTGTCATCTTCTGTCTTTCAAACTTACAATTTTGGGGGTTTGTTTTAGCTAATCTTAAACATATTTGAACACAAAACAAGCAAACCCATAAGAGTGTTTTTGAAAGCTAACTGATTCAGAATAGATATCCAAATTTTTTCTGTATTTTTTTCCGCTGTAATTTCTTCAAAACAGCCAAAAGGGTTTGTTTTTCTGCCCCTCATGTTGGTATTTGGTTTTCTTAAGCTTGTGCAAGTTTATTTTAAGTGTAGAAATTTGATTTTTCTAATATACTTGTTCTTTAGTTTTGGTACAAGAATCAAGTTGTTTTTATGTCCTCTTTTTTCAGATATCTTTCTTGCTCTTTGGTTATTGCTAGTTTCTCTTTCTATATAATTTAATGTAATTCTTCTGTGTTGTTTAACTTTGTTGAGAAGCCATGACAGCAGCTATAGAGATATACAGATATAACGAAAAAGGACTTTAGATCAGGTTTTTAGTTAGACCAAAACGACGTCGTTTTGATGAGGTTAATAAAAAAAAATTGTAAAAGCTAGTGAAACGTTGCTGTTTC